TCATCCCCGGCACTTGTCTGAATAGTTTTATTTTGTTAGGATCCGAAAGTGGAATCATGGGATAGAAAACTGGTAGTAGTTCCAAGTGGTAAATACATGATTTCTTCTACCTCATCCAGTTTGACAAGATCGGTTTGTTCTCAGCGGAAGAGCAAAAATTAGCAGGTGGATAAATGATACTGTTCAACTGGACCCGTCGCCAGGAATACATATTAATGAATTCGAGCAAGCGCGCCCCTAGACCGGAGTTAGGCAGAACAAGACACAGTACGAAGCCGAGTGTATGGGGCCAAAAACTGTCCACATGGAGCACCGGACGCACGATTTAAAGCATGACTTGAAGAGCTATTGATTGATCAGTGTGAGACAAACCAATAAGAAGGGTGGTATGGCTACATTAGTTAAACAATGTCATCGACGGGCGCAACAAGAGTATAGCGGAGAGCACGGTAAAGCCGCAAGTTGTCTCTTGCGTTGATTAAGTCTATTGCGAGTTACTTCAAATTGGATCGCACTCAAGTATGAGCTTACTACTTCCTATGTAAGCACCAGGTGGTATTTGAAAAACTACTCATTCAAGAAGTTTGGTACAGTTAACCTCGGAAATCTTGTTTTCGGATTGATCGATTTGATGTGTTTAATTTACAAATTGCAATTCGCGGAGTCTGTAGTTTCAAAGCCAAAGACAACAGAGCAACCATAGCTGGTAATCCAGCTCCACTTGATTTCCAGTGGTGGAAAAAGACGTTGTGAATGTCTTAAAGAGTCTACAACCAGACATATTACAAACAGCTATATCTCAACAGAATCTGTTCAGTTTTCGACAGATGCAGTATGGTAGGTTCGGAATCGCAATAGAATTAGGCTCTAAACAAGCTAGTCTCGAATCGTAGGAATAACACCCTAACTGGAATTCGAATCTTGCGGGCATATATTCCGCTTCAATTGATGAAAATAGGTAACAGTAATCAATCATTGAATATGGTATGTACGCTCATCACATCATCCGCTGATTAACTACAACTCCTGATTTCTGTACTTCGGTTGAGATTTCTGTTGCAATATGGCGGATTTTCTTGGTGGCTGCTTTTGCTCAGAACTCTCATGAGAATCTGAAACTAAATTGTACTTAGTATTTGCAGTGTACACAGAATCGAATGACAACTGACCGGAATCCTTTATCGTACCTGATGAACATGCCGTTTATGTACAGAACAGTCATCGAGATGCAGAATTTTAACCATACGACTTCCAAGTTTGTTACCAATGATTCCGGATGTAGAACGTAAATCATTGCCTCGGAAATAGGATACTTTAGCGGTTTTCAAACCAAGCATATTCGACCCCGATGGTCTGGATTTACACAGTTTAGCGGGTGTACCTCCAGTGGTGGAATGTCCACAGTTACGGAATTGGAGAAGGAAGTTAGCAACACAGCGATCAAGTTCATCAAAAGAATTAGGAGCACAGGAGGTACCAAAAGGTTTTAAAGTTGCAACTAAGTTTTCAGCTAGGCCGTTAGAGCATGGATGTCGTGGAGTAGTAAAAAGGTGGCAAAATCCATGACTATGCAACCAATTGGTAACAATTGAAGCTAAAATGTGTGAGCCATTGTCACTTACTACACCTAATGGGACTCCTTCCCTACTAAACAATTTTCTCAAGGCACGGAAAGTAAAATCAGCGTTTGGTTTATCAGTTAGTAATACTTCCGGCCATTTTGAATAAAAATCCACCACCACAAGTGCATAGTAGTTCTGTGGAAATGGTCCAAAGTAATCCATATGCATCCTTTGACAGGGCTCGTATGTCATCGGACACTTGGACGGCTGCTGTAGAAACTTGTGTTTGCAGTTCGGGCAATCAGCAACCGTTCGCCTAATGTCTGCATTTATTTCAGGCCACCAGCAAAAGCATCGAGCTAAGGACCGTCTTTTCAACACCAAGATGACCAGAATGTAAAGCCGTCAGGACAGCTGGTCTCAAAGTCGGCGGAATAACGACACGGTCATCCACACACAGTAATCCATCAGGTGTAACACACACCTCATCACGACGTGCATAAAACTGTGGAATCTTCCGTTTTAGGTAAACAAACCATCCTCGTTTGAAAGCATAAATCAATGACCCGTAATACTTTCTAGTCTCCTTGATAAAGGCTGAAGGCGAGATTGGAAGCGGCTGGGTGAATAAACAACTATTCTCCGAAACGGTTTTGAATACCATTGCGTTTCGTGATAAGTAATCGACATGAGGACTGAACTTTGCACTTCTGCGCTCAACGATGTAGATGTACGCGCTAAGAGCCATACTCCATCTTTGAACCATAGCTGTTGAAGATTTAGCTAAAAAACTGGCAGGGTTGTAAATGAATTTTGGAGCTTCATGATCTGTCACAATGGTAAACTTGAGACCAAACAAATAGTTGTGAAGTCTAGTGACTGCCCATTATGCAGCCAACGCTTCTCGATGAATCGGAGCATACCCGTTTTCAGTATTGCTGAGTCGACAAGTGATACACAGAACAGGGTGGCCATCTTGCTCTAACACAGCACCTATATCGGTTGGTGAGTGAATGTACGAAGAACGCAACCAGACGTAAGCATTTTCAAAAGCTTTCGAGGAATATGCTCGTGTCTGTCTAACCAAATAAAACTGTTGTCATTCAACAAGGTGAATACAAGTTCAACAATGGATGCAAAATTAGGAAGGAATTTGGAATATTTCTGTAAGGCTCCCATCAGTGATCGAAGCTCATGCACGTTGGTTGGCGACTTCACATCAACCAATGACTTTATCCGATGAGCATCTGGTTTGAATCCTTCAGATGTAACATGATAACCATGACAACTTATCTCTTGGACCTCAGTTAGGCACTTCTTTAGGTTGATATATACATTGGCATCATTGAAGCGATTTAAAAATGCAAGCAATCGAGAATCATGAGTGCGTTTATCGACAGCGTGCATAAAAACATTGTCTTGATCGACCACAACACCTTCCAGGCCTTTCACAATAGAGTTCATCACGTCTTGGAATATGGCTGTCGACATATTAAGATCGAAGAGAAGAAACCTATACCGGTACCACTCAAAAGGTGTGTTGATGGTGGTCACTTCACTAGAATCATCAGCGCGTGGTATCTACAAATAGTTATCTTTTAAGTCTAGCTTCGAGAAAATCGTGAATCCATGTAGATGAGAAAGAATAGAGTCAGGTTCTCCCGTGGCGCAACTACGCTGCAATAGCTACACATTAAGAATAATGGGGGACTCGCGGCAAACTCTCAGAGTTTGTCCATTCGCTTTTAACTGTGTAACAATAGGTGTGACCTATTGTGAACTATGTACTGGGATAATAATGCCTGCTTTTCAGCGAGACACAAGTACCTTGCGAACAGGTTCCATTACTCCAAATGGAAGTACGTGACGTTTACAGAAGACAGGATCACCGGTTAATTCCAAATAAATAGGCGAGATTGTCATTGCACCTTATGTCACTGAACAACCGTGCAGTAAATCACGAATTTGAGTGTCAGTATCAGTGTGTGACAGAAAAGTGACACTTATTTTAAGCGCTTGCATAACTTTAATACCGAGAATAGACGGGCCTTGACGAACGACAACCATTTTACACTCGACAGGGTTAGAATGCTTACCTAATACAGATAAACTACAACATCCTATCAGGTTATGTCCAGTAATAGCTTTAAACCTGATGGATGTAGAATTAAGCTGAATATCAAGGTATAGAGAATTGAGAATGGTTTTCGGAGTGAGAGACCTCACACTACCAGTAGCAACAAGGAAACGGGGTGTAATACCATTTCAGACGCTTAAAATATTGAATAAGTGATCACTTGTATTCACAGTCAGCGCTGACGAACAGAAATCATTTATCGAGTTCACAGAGGCATCTACAACTTGTTTCACTATATTACGACTTAAGTGTTGACGGCAAACACGGCGAATATGTCCGACTTATCCACGCTGATGGCATTTCGAATTCCGATGCGGACAAGTATAGCAGGAATAAAGCTTTCCACAAGAAACACGTTGTCCAACCTTTTTGTTGACTTCACCGCACTTTACACTGTCCGAATTTTCCTGGGCGTGCGATTGTGCAATGTTTTGAGGTTTAAACGCGTTAGATTGCCACTGTTTTCATGTTTCGTCACGAACCCGGCGTTTGGTTGAGCCAAACAAAACGTGTTGGTCAACAGCAGTCGTCTGGACTTTTGTAATGTCAGAAACATCTTGATAGTGCAAACAGATGGACTTCACTTGAGTGTAAGTCGGTGATGGAAGTGATAAGAGCTGAGGATATAAATCGGGATTATTTATGCTAGCAATCAGGCGACCATTCAGGTATTCATCAAGCTTATCCCCAAATGCACAACATGAAGCTTGAGACTGAAGTTGGCTAATGAAGTCACGAACATATTCATTAGGTTGACGCATCAGTAAGTTGAACTTTACCCTTTCGGCAACCACGAAATTTTCCGTTAATAAATGAGATAAAAAGATGTCCTTCCATTTGTCGTATGATAGCTTTGAGGGAAGCTGAGGATAAGCCAGATTCTTTAGGAGTGAAAAGGCTTCCCGTCCAATAACTGTAAAAAAGTGAGCGCGTTTAAGGTCTGCGCGAACTTCACCTTTGATGAACCACCAAAGCTCGAATCTTTCCATGTATTCTTGTGACTCTCTGGGAGATGCATTTGTAGTTAAGAATTCCATAGTTGAATTCATTTTGGAATAAACACGGACCACGACGCCAATTAAAGTAGGTTCGAAATCGCAATAGAATTAGGCTCCAACCAACCTAGTCTCGACTCGTAGAAAGAACACCCGAATTGGAATACGAATTTCGCGGGTATATACTCTAAGTCAATAGAGAAAAAAGATTAACAATAATCAATCATTGAATATTGTAGGTACAACATCAGTTGCAGGCATTCACCCATATGCAATCTCTTCTTCTCTTCTTCCCAAACGTGGTAGAAACCAGACTTTTACTGGAGCGCGGGTGAACGTGGTTTAGTGGACAGTTCATTCTTCTACGGATATTTGGTGACTCAGATTCCCGGTGGAGTTATCGCCTCCAAATTTCCAGCTAACAAACTGTTCGGCATTGCTGTTGGAGGCAGTGCACTGCTCAATCTTCTCCTTCCATCAGCCTGCAAAGCACACTTCGGATTAGTCATGGCCATTCGTGTGATGCAGGGTTTGGTTGAGGTGAGTGACACTGATGTCCGTCGTCATCTAGCTGGACACTGAAGCATCACACAGCCTGAGTCGGTAGCCACATTTAACACACATTAACTGAAAGTAACAGGAAGGTTTCAGATCCACTTACTTTTATGTTATCTTGTTGAAAAAATACCAGTTCAACAGATCAAGGCTGTATATTACAAACGAGTTCACTAGACGAGGGGTAACTTAGCGTGTAAACGCGAGTCCAGCTTGACCTTCGTAGCGACATGTTGATAACTGTCGAATCTACGTCATTAAGAACAGATCCTTATTAGAACTGGATCCACAACACTTTCATCCGCTCACCGCCGCAAACTAATCCAGCAGTTAAGTTGCATCGTAGATGAAAAGTACCCTTTATTCTGTTCACGATTCTGGTATCATGGGTCGATAACCACAATGGCCCTATCTGTTAGTATAAGTAGGCTAAACCATCTATTCCGTGTCTCAAATGCTGTGGTATTCGAAATGACAGTTTGACCGGTGCTATAGTAGCTACTAGCACCGTTGTTCACCATAAACTATTACGCCAAACATACCAAATTCCAGCTGGTTTGGCGCCGGTTGGTTCTAACCACCAAAACGGGGGTTTTCATGCCTACATATATCCTGAACTTGAGTGTTCTTTTAAGCAGTTCTTGCGGACACTAATCTGTAGTACTCAAGCTGTGCAACGTAGAACGGGGGTCAGGTTGCGGAGCCTAGTTGTAGGAAATTTATGAAGAAGGCGGCGCAGTGCGGACGAGTTGTGTATAAAAGAACGAACTTATACATTAGTAGGGTCCCAAAAACTGACCGATTCCACTACTTTCTGGTATGAAATATGTTCATCATATCTACACTCCAAGAAATTCCATTAACCAATGCAAGCGAAATTGATAAGAACTTTCCTCCGCACCAGACTGTCCAATTAGATCGGTTCTGCACACTCTGGGTGACCCTACCAGTAAGATGTTTGTACGTGTTTTTCCCACTGTGCTCCTTTATTTTAAACCAACGAGTTGTCATCCTCCTTTACTTACGTCCTTTATCAAGGTCGCAGGTTGGCATGATGTGCGTTGCACTACTTACTGTTGTTCATTCTGTTCTTCGTGAATTCAACAGGGAACCTCGTACCCAGCTTGTCACGGAATATGGCGTTTCTGGGCTCCTCCGCTAGAACGCTCTCGTTTGGCTACCATAGCTTTTTGTGGTAAGTACCATAGACAAGCTCAATCAGTTGATAGTGTATGTTATGAGCAAATATATACAAAACCAAAACCAAATTTGCGGCAACATTTTTCAAAATGGAATTGACCGTGTAGCATGTTTTTCTTAACTTTTATGTTTTTCTTGAAGAACTTCTCAGTTTTATCCGACCAGAAATTTGTCAGCATGTAAAGGAGCAATGACTGGCCATTTCATCCGCTCAAAACCAACCAGCGATGAGTATACGCTGGTTTCGATAAAGCTCTGGTAACTGTGCTTCAGCATAGACTTGTGCCATGGTGTATGTTTACCATAGACTTAACCAAAATATGTCAAGCTATTTAGTAGGAGACTTTAAAAATGAACCCCGTGCACTTCATACCAAAGCGGGTATACCAGCTGCACTATTTTCAGAGTTTAACAGTCTGGGAATGTGATGAGGATGATTTGGCGGCGTCCGTACCCGGATTTGCCTGTCACTGTGACGTCCATGGGGACAGCCACAGGACGCCTGCGCCTACAAAGGTGACCATGGGTGGCTTGCGCTGCACCATCCATAGTTCCACCCACACACACACCCTATCCGGTGTAAACCCGAAGGAATAAGACCGGGAGGCATGCGGATGGGAGCCACGTTTCATCAACGGAGCCGGCCCACACTCCTTCAACAAGCAGAACGGAAGCATTCCGGCCTAATTGGGAAATCATACACACCAGACGTACACGAGGCGGTGGCTGGACAGTAGCCCGTTCCACACAGGATGGAACAACTCTTTGAGCCTAGCACAGTCACGAGGACGGTGCACTCCGTCCCCTCCAGTGACGACTAACTGTCTCCTGGAGCCAGTATGGACGAGGTAGTGGGTAATAGACAGGTAGGCACCTTGTCAACATTTACATCAGGCGCATCCACTCCGGGGAGCTCAAACAACGGCCAATCACTTAAGAGAGAGAGAGACAAAGAAAATAACTCGATTAATGCATAAGGAAACGGTGACATAAACCTTAGGTTAATGAGCATATGAAATAAGTTGTTTACAAAATAATCCTAGATAAGTATACTTTACGGAATGCCACAAACACAAAAATGTTATGGAAATCGAATACAATTGGCTTACGCGAGGTGTGCAAGTTAATGGAATAGAGTACAGGTAGACATTTATATGAGAAAGAAAAGCATGAAGGCAAAATTGAAAACCCACCACCTGAAATAAAGAGACTTAGCATGCAAGCACGCGGTTAGCAAATCGAATGCAGCGTACCTACAGACGCCGCGCCGGTTCTGTGTACTTCTCTGCAAAACCCGTCGTCGCTTCTGTAGTGGCCCCAAAGGACCTAGCTCATGGCCCACTAGACATTTATATGAAAAAGAAAGGCATTAATACAAAACTGAAAACCCACTACCTGAAATAAAGAGACTTAGCATGCAAACACGCGGTTATTAAATCGAATGCAGCGTACCTACAAACGCTGCGCCGGTTCTGCCTACGTTCTCTGCAGAACCCGTCGGCGCATCGGTAGTAGTCCCGAGTGGCCTCGCTCATGGCTCACTAAGCCCGCCTGACTAAGGCACTAGCGACCGCATGTGCTACAGCACCATGCGCTTGATGTCGATGGAGATCAACCTATCGGTGCTTGCTGTTTCCGCACTTGCCGCTTCTTCTCTGCATGCATGAGGGCTTTCTCCTGCACCTCAGCAACTACCTTCGTGATCAGATCGCGCCATGCACGCCGACCAACCGCCTTTGATTCCCATGATCTTCAATCAAGATTAGAACGTGTGAGGCTCACTTTAATCATGTCCTGGTATCGTAACTTTGGTTTCCCCACATCCCGCTTCCCAATACTCAGCTGACCATATAATAGCTGCTTCGGTATCCGCGTCGAATCCATACGCCACACATGACCGAGCCAAATCTGGTATCTCAATAAAAGTATGCAGCCAACTGCATACATCCAACTTTGCCGCAACACTTCTGTGTCTGCAACTCTGTCGCCCCAGCCGATGCGCAAAATACGTCGCAGACACTGTTGATGGAACCGCTCGAGATGTCGCACATCCCGCCGGTACATCGTCCACGTTTCACTGTCGTTTAGAAGAACGGAGAGCACCATGGATTTATACACCATCAGCTTCGTGCCAATGGTAAGCTGATGGTTATTCCACACTCGGTACTCAAGCTTCCCGAATGCCGCCGCTGCCTTCGACACGCAGATACGCAGCTCACTGTGTAGCTGCTGATCAGTCGACATCACACTCCCAAGGTAGCAAAAGCGGGAGGTGGTTTCTAATACTTCAGCACCAATGCTGATTTGCGGCAATATTGAAGATTGCACCTCAGGTGAAGGCTGAAAAAGACAGACAGTTTTGCTTGTGTTGATGGTGAGTCCAAATTTTGCCGCTGTCGAAGCCAGAGCACTAGTCATGTGCTGCAACTCATCCGCGCTGTGTGAAAACAACGCACAGTCATCAGCAAACAGCAACATATGGATTGCTGTCTCACAGACTATAGTTCTCGCACCGAAACGACGGATGTTCAGCAACCCACTATCAATACGGTGCGCCACAAGAACACCGTAAGCACAAGCCGCATCAAAAGCACAAGACAACATTGCATGAAACAGGGCAGGAGCTAAGACACAGCGTTGCTTCACACCAGAGACAACTGCAAAGTCATCCGAGGTCTCTCCACTCAGCTGCACCCTCGCCCGCATACCACTGTGCAGACATTCAAGTCAACTTACAAACTTACGCGGGAAACCAAACTTACCCAACACCAGCCACAATGCCTCGCGGTTCACCGTATCAAATGCCTTGGTGAAATCAACAAAAAGCAAATACAACAGCTGGTGTCATTCTCTGCACTTCTCTTGCGACTGACGAGCAGCAAACACCAGATCTATAGTGCTGCAACCCGAACGGAATCCACATTGCTCTTTCGCCACGTTTGGTTCCACAACCTGACTGACGAGGCGGTTGAGCAGGATTCGGGCAATCACCTTGCCATCACAACTCAGCAAGTTGATGCCACGATAATTCGTGCAACATTGCTTGCTACATTTGCCCTTGTACAGTGGTAGCACAAGGGCATCCTTCAGCTCAGGAGGCACCTCCTCCTCAATCCATACAGGTTGCACCAAGTGGGGCAGCGCAGTCAACAACGCGGATCCGCCGTGTTTCAATAATTCAGGCTGGATCCCGTCACCTCCGGCACATTTGCCGTTTCGCAGCTGAGCAAGTGCTCTCTGTGTCTCATCCAGTGTCTGTGTGTCCGCCAGATTCGCCTTCACATCGTGCTGCTTCAGGCCGTTCAACGTAGGCCAGTCGATCTCTGAACGGTTGTTCAAGAAACAGTCAAAGTGTTATCGCCAGATCTGCATTATGTCTGCAGTCTGTGTGCAGGTAGCGCCTGAACTACCATCGATCAATGACCTCAGCGGCTCCATTCTCGGTCCATAAACCGCCTTCAAGAAGTCAAAGAATTCCTTGTGTTGACGGCGTTCGGCGTAGCATTCCATCTGCTTCGCCTTCTCCGTCCACCATGCATTTTTAATGCGACGGAGCTCTCGGGTCAGTCGCCGTCGAAGTTTGTGAAACTGACTACTCTTTCCCAAGTCACTGGGGTCTGCAACATGTGCAGCAAATGCTGCATTCTTCTCCGACACCAATGCGCCGATTGTCGCATTGTTATCATCAAACCAATCAGGCCGCTTACAAGTTGCGCGCCCGATGGTCTCCTCGGCAGCAGCTGTCACCTGGTCGCGAATGTAGTGCCACAGGTCGCCAACTGTGGCTATGCAGTCCACGTCACACAGGCGTGCAGCCATCGCCTTCTCCAGCTCAGTACGTTTCGCCACAGTACCGAGGGAGAGAATGTTAAATTTACGCCGATTCACCGTGGGAGTGCAATACATAGATTTACGAAAATATATGTACAGTTTGGTCCGAACCAATTTGTGATCAGTGCCACACTCAGCTCCACGCAGTACACGTGTCATGCGCACTTCACGCATATCACGCTGACGTACGATGACATAGTCGAGCAGGTGAGCGTGACCACTCCGTGGGTGCGTCCAAGTTGCTATATCACTCGCACTCAGTGCAAACCGAGTGTTCGTGATCGTCAGGCCGTGAGTGGCACACAGTGAGAGCAGCCTGTCACCGTTCGCATTCGCTGAACCAATGCCATGCGCACCGATAACATCTGTCCACGCGGATGCATCACGCCCTACACGCGCGTTGAAATCACCCAGCAGAAATAGTCGGTCGCTCCTCGGCACAGACCGTATCACGGAGGATAGCTCAGTGTAGAACTGATCACGCGTGTCATCAGGATAACACATGGTCGGACCGTACGTGCTTATATAAGTGGTAAACTTACCTCTTCCGAGCCGTAGGCGAACAGTTATCAGTAGCGCGCTGATGCCCGTTGGTTCACACAGCAGCTGGCCGTGGAGGCGATCGGGTATTGCAAATCCGACCCCATGTTCACGTGGTGCTGAGGCGGCGTTACCCACCCAGTATAGTGTGTAGCCAGCACCTGCTTCATGCAACTTACCTTGCTCAGCGAGCCGGGTTTCACTGAGCGCCGCAATATCGATTTGGTAGCGCGCCAGTTCCATCGTGACCAGTGCAGTGTGTCGCTCCGGGTGCTCGCTGGAGTTCCGGTCCAGTAGTGTGCGCACGTTCCAGCACCCGGTGCTGAGTGCTTTGCGTGCAGACATACGCTTGCATTGGTGGGCAATCGCACGCGAGGTGGTCGTTGTGCTTTGGAGGTTTGCTTGAGGGACTCCACCCGGAGCCTTTGGCTCAATAGCCTGACCCACAAGGCAGTGGGTGATTTGGAGGTTTGCTTGAGGGACTCCACCCGGAGCCTTTGGCTCAATAGCCTGACCCACAAGGCAGTGGGTGGTTTGGAGGTTTGCTTGAGGGACTCCGCTCGGAGCTTTTGGCTCAATAGCCCGACCCACAAGGCAGTGGAGAGCAGATCCGGCTCGGGAATGTGATTGCAGAGACAGGTAGGGATCTGCTTGACGGCGGCCACACGCAGCCTTTGAGGTTCTGGAACGTTTTATATATGTTTTGCGACCGTAGTAGGATATGCACCTGCGACCACGGCCAGACGCAGGTGGGTTTTGCCGGGTTTGCACCAATTTGACCAGGGGCTGCCTGGCTTGAGGCGGGCAGTAGCAAACCATTGAACACCCGGAAGTGTCCTCCCACCGTCAGAGAAAATGCGTGGCGCTCGTGCTCTACGCCAATCGAGCATTGAGAATATAACCCGTAACCTGTTGTCTCCCATGGCTAGGTTTTACGGGAGGTGGGCCATCGACCACTTCCTAACGTCCGAAGAGGGTGGACTAGGATACTGCCAGGGCGCCCAATCCTGACAGGAGAACGACTCGGGTCCTCAGCCAAAGCCTTCGATTAAATGAACACCCGAAAGGCAGCTGGTCTAGCACATGGTCAGTTCACTGACTCATGTGGAAATGTAGACTCACTAAAACCTGCATACTATTCACATGTAGCTTAGGCACCCGTTTTATCCTTATGTGTTTGCTTTGCTTTTAAAGTGCTGATTTGTTAGCATGCTTCACAAAAGCAGAATTAACAAGTTTAGCAAACTGCTGCAGTGCACGCGCTACCGGAGATGAGTATAGATAGGAAATATAACAAGTTCCCTACACTACCCGCACAGATGGACGACCAGTCGTTCCGTTTGGGTTGTTTGTGGTCACCCGCAGAGGCAAATGAAAGCAGGAATAATAATGATGTAATATGCCTACATTCGTCATTAAATTACAATGCATCGTTCGTACCACTTTAGCTTTAATTATTTACTTTTTAACAAAATCGTACTTTAAGTCAGCGCGAGTGAACGATAGGCTGCTACAGAGTGACCGTATTTTGCATCCGTTCTCGTGAACGTTATTTGCAACCAAGAAAAACTAAGTCACGGCATACGTTAAAAGTTTCAGTGGAAAGTGTATCTCAGAATGACAGAAATTCGTCCAAAATGTTCCTCACTGGAACTGCCATTGGGAGAGAGAACGATCACTTAGGGCGTTCCACCAGTCACTGTAGTGGACAGTTTTTAGTTACGGGAGTTCCAAGGGCACTTATATCAAATGTCACTCTTTTCCGGTGACCTAATGGTCTTAATCACAAACTCATTAAAGTAAGGTCGCAGGTTCTATTCCCACAGTAGATATATGGGACACCCACTACTGGGGATCGCCTAAAGGACGCATTGCCTGTCCAACGTTTTTCCAAATGCGTCATAACTGTCTAACTGATTGTGGTTGTGATAAATGTCCGGAAATGTTATCCAAATCCCACATTTTACAAGCCTCTTGGTTTAGCTATTTTATGTGGCGCGTACTTACCTCTTCATAAAATTGGAGCATCTCAGTGTGTGTGTGTGTGTGTGTGTTTGTGTGTGTTAAAATAACCAGTACAATATTATCTGCTCTCCCAACCAACACAGGGTCATACGCTGGAGCGGTGTTCGGACTTTCACTGTCTGGCTTATTGGCAGAAAAGCTGGGTTGGCAGTCTCCATTCTACTTCTACGGTAATGTCATGCATTTGTGACTGGCTTCTCACTTGTGTCAAATGAAGTGAATAGTTATTATGCGAGCGCCCTGTTTTAGTACTCACTGTGTATTAACAATGGTAACCCTTCGCACTTGCATTCGGACAAATGAAAGTTCAACGATCCAGCTTGCATGTAGACGCCATTACCAATGCTGATAGTGTCCTTTCCTTTGTTATCCAGTAGGCGATAATGCGTAGAAATGCAGCGAGTTACAAAACTACTTTGACGAAATAATCGAGGAAACAGGTCACTTCGCGTATAATACTCGACTTTCAGTGACACTAACCAAAAGGATGAGTTATTCCAAAGAAATTGAACAATCGCTTATAGCTTATCCCAGCACCGCAAAAGTAACGGATCAGTTGTGTTACGTCCTTATTCTAAAAACCGGTTGCGAGTTGCCCGGCGTAGAAGATGAACAATGATCAATGATATATAAAACCGGTAAAAAAGCAGGTGCTTGACATGTCCCGTAGG